GAGAGAGAGAGAGAGCGAGACAGGAGGAGGAGGAGGAGGGGGGGGGGGGTTGAGTGCATGAAAAGCGTAAGATGTGAGATCTGAGCCACCCGTACCACACTCCAATCCTCTGACACATTGCTGGGTAGTTCCCCGAATAGGGTCTGGCTGCGCAATGAAAAATCAGTACCAAATACCACGTATTCGATTTTGATACACATTCGGTGATGGCGACTGTACTAAACCCTCACCCAAACCACACACGCGTACAAAGACACTTGTGGTTTTAGTGTCCTATTCCCGGCTGCTCGTAAAACTACTGCGCCAGTAAATATCAATCAAGTCACTACCACATGAGTGATAGGGAGCAAACCCCCGACACTGGCCCGAGTCCAGACATCGTTGCATATGTATAAAGTACCGGCAGCGTCAACCACACACCTGAAGCGTCCGCATCAGGATCAAAGAGAGATGTGATCTCCTGCTCCGCTGTTTGATATGACAGGTTGCTCAGGAATACCGTGGTACCAACACGCGCCGCTGGCTTCTCAGAGCTGTGGGTGGTCGATGAATGTGTAACAGCCAAACGCGGTAGGAGCAAGGGTTAGACATCCTATTGAAAACACTAATTGAACGCCCAAGCCAAAACCCCTAGCCTTAAAAACCTAAAAACTCCCCTGCTGATTCAGCTAGTAACAAAGCGACAATCTGGGTACTGTCGTGTCATGTCAAGTTTGACACCGTTACCTGGCAACAGCTTCTTCCGTATCCGTTTTTTGACGCTTTAGATCTGTCACCGCTTCCGAGGTCCCGTCTAATGTGTGTTTCTGTCCTTTTGCCCCCACGACGTGCTCTGAGCAAGTCAATAGAACATTGTACAAGTGACGGTAAGAAGGTACACCCAAGCACGAGATAGCTGTACACAGAGTTGCTGTTGGATGTGAATGTAGAGTCAAAATGCCCATCAGAGTTGATTGTGGCCACAGTCCCACAGGTCAAAGCAGAACGAGAACAGAGAAACACCGGCAAACCACACCACCTGGTCCACAAGAACAGCTAACACTTAAGACGAGTTCACGGTCTCAGCAGCAAGTGATATCTCCAGCACAAGCACGTGCACTGTAGGATGTATCATATTCATATCCGCATACCCTCCGTGGCTGCAAACACATCCTCGTGCGTGTAGGCAGGCTTGGCTTCCTTTGTCTGCTGCTCGTCAGCGAGCTTAGATGCCGTAGCGCGCTGGGCAATCTCGGCCTTCTCTTTCTGCTGCTGTGCTTTGACCCGCTCTTTCTCGTCATGCTGGTGCGTGTTAGTTCAACGTGTACCCAATTAGCTAGTGAAGTAAGGCCGTGATACATAATGATCATGTAAGCTATTGCATGCATCGGCACCTCCAGCAGCGAGACTTACGACAAACTAGATATAAAAGATGATTTCCATGTTAATTTAAAGCGCACCGGCAGCAAGTCTGTTCTCGAGGCTCCTACCCGTACAAAAGCACTACATATGTACATTGCACCCATGAAACATCAGTCGGCTAACGCGCGAAAAAACCTTTTCTTGTCTGATACGAGCCATCTCCATCGCCTTCTCCGTGCGCGCACAGGCCGAGTCGTACGTCTCGAGTGTCCCGTTCTCGCGCTCAAACTGCACCCAGGTTTGACACACGGCGTAGTCGCCAGCGGTTTTTTCTGTAGCCGTTTGATAGATCTTCCTGACCTTGGCCACACACGCAGGGAACACGGTCTCATTCATCTCAAACCTGCGGGATTAACCATGTCACATAGCGTTATATACTCACAACGGCGTCTGTTCAACCAAACGAAACGGGTGGGATGTGAACTATCTGTGCAAACGGCCATTCGAGTCATGTGGGATGGAAGTATGTATAATGTGCAGTATCCATCGCTTTCGAACAATCGGACTACGAAAACCGTCACCTAGACATTGCTACAGTAGAAGTGCCTACTGACCGCGAAGCCATACAACCATGGCAGCATCTCGAAGAGCTCATGTTTAGCTAGGTGCACACGCCACTCCCCCCTTGTCCGATCACACACTCGCCTACTTTGCAGACCAATGGATGTTTATTTATGGGCAGTATGGCAAGGCAAGGCAAGGCAGGACAAGACAAACCCCAATTTAACCAGCGATAAAGTCAACTGTCCCACATGAACACAGAGTATATACTCGAGGTAGGGGAGAACAGGGAACAGTACTGTACTGTAAGATGAATGGCGAATCGTCGAATTACTAGATAGAAGATGAATCGTCAAATAAATAGACGAATGGTGGTATACAGAACGGGGTTAGTTGGACTGCGAGACACAATCGACTTCTTAAGGAAGTGCTGTTGCTTGTTTTTCACTCATGAATAACATCACAGACACACGGCCCACAACCGCCTACCGTGCATACTCCAGCCACACACTGGCGTTCTTGGGATAGTCCTTTGCTGCCGCCTCCAACACTGCCCGCGCGTGCGCCACACTTTGCACTCCGTTCAGCTCCACCCGTGCCCAGCCCAACGGGATCTGTGCGTAGGGGTCACCGACGGCCTTACCAAAGTGCACGGTGATGTAGTCTGAAGCCTTCTGGAATGTCTCTCGTAGCGAGTAGACGGTGTCTTCTCGCAGTCTCTCGCGTGCGCCTGGAGGACGATTGCACGACGAGTGAAGCGGTCAGTAAGCGCGTGTTGTAAACGCCACACAGTAACAATGAGAGGTTCGTAGGCAGGTTCGTATTGAGGTTGTTGAGGGACATCCACCCCTTGATGCAAGGCTGTGTGTATGGGTTCTTTACTTTCAGATCGTAATCATAGTATGTGTCTGCGTTAAATATAGGAAGTACATATCCATGTGACATGTAAACGCCGCAGCATTCGGCAGCTTCGTTCGATACCACACGCACAGAAACGAGCGCACACATGACGAAACGCGTACCAATCCGATGATAACAACACACAATAGTCGTTGTGCAATAGACAACAATGTTCCGCATTGGGCAAGCAGACTACGAAAGCAGTCTACATTTACAAACCAATACCAATACCCATATCAATACCAAAGCCAAAGCCAAAGCCAAAACCAAAACCAATGTATGCTTACGAATAGTGGGATTTCTAAAGTAATACATGTTTGCCCACAAAGATACATGGAACACACACTGCACAGATCACACTCTCATTAGAACAAGTTGGTCCCATCTCGAGCCAACGAAATCCACGTCATACCCTGCTCTGACCGTCGATCACACTACGCTATAAATGCTACAAAGACAATATAGCAGCCCAACCCCACATTTACAAACCAATACCAATACCCATATCAATACCAAAGCCAAAGCCAAAGCCAAAACCAATACCAATACCAATGTATGCTTACGAATAGTGGGATTTCTAAAGTAATACATGTTTGCTCACAAAGATACATGGAACACACACTGCACAGACCACACTCTCATAAGAACAAGTTGGTCCCATCTCGAGCCAACGAAATCCACGTCATACCCTGCTCTGACCGTCGATCACACTACGCTATAAATGCTACAAAGACAATATAGCAGCCCAACCCCACCTCAGCACATCACCCCGTCAAGAGATCCAGAGATCAAGAGATCAAGACATCACAACACTCAAAACGTACTGTCGTCTTGTGCTGCGTCGCACTCTGCATGCAGCTCAGCCCATGCGATCCGTCTCCGCTGGTAGTCGATAAAGGCCAGCCACAACTGCACATACTCCTCTGGCGTGGGGAACCCAGACAACAAGGCCGCTTGGAAGACCCCCTCAATCTCGTGAAATGCCAGGTTTTTCCTTTCTAGAGCACGCATCCGCCGTTGCCATAGAAACGAGCTCCAGGCGCAGTTGCGTGTCGAACGCTCACATAGATCCAACAGCACGGTAGAGGTAGGTAGCTTTCTCTCCACGTAGGCCGTATAGGCCAACCATAGTTCTATATTTAGCGGATTTGCGGCTATCGCGCGTTCATTGACACATATAACCCTAGCAGGGTCGTCGCCGTAGGCAATTTCGTGCTGGATCTGTCACATGAAGGGTTGTGTGTGCCTGAGGTCAAAACATGCGACGCACATGACCGCAGCCCACTATACTCAAACGCCCCTCGTAACCTAGACAACCTGCATACTCAGAAAAAAACCAACCTATCAGACGCCCCCCCCCCACCCTCTCTTCCACGCCAAGGACTATCACAGACACCCACACATACCATTCGCTGGTAGACTGCCACACTGCTCTCCCCCGTACTCGCCCCCACTGGCTCGGCTGCCTTGTCCTGAGTGGCCTCCTTGGGCTTAGCCTCGTGCTGTAAGGCTGCCTCCAAGCAGCCCTCGAGTGCGTCTAAAGGTTCCCTCAGCGTCAGTGCGCGTGTGTAGGCCTCGGCAGTGGTGTTTACATCGGCGGTCCTGTCGTTGTCGTCGCACCACTCTTGCTGCATGTCGCGCAAGGCTTCCATACCCTGCAATACACGGCCAATGGGTGATTGAAAGACAGTTAGCATGCAGTGATAAAGTGTGCTATTTAAGTGATACAAAGGGTGCCGTAGCGGAAGAACGCACTTCGATGAAGCCGACTCATGTCTACTGCCAAACAAAGTGTCAACAATATCTATGAAAACTCAGCATCCGCTCTTAGTTCTGGAAGAGATAGTCGCGCATGCCTGTCATGGCACATGGATACTTTCACGCTGCACAAAGTACATACGAAACACATAAACACGCTGAAAAACTACATTACCATACAGGTGAAAGTAGTGCCTTCGCTCGGAAAATTAACCGCATGCGAAACGCGCATATGCCGAGTAGTGCATATACTAGTATAGACATGACAGTCTACCTGCATCGGATATGCGTATATGATCTAGGAGAAGTGTTGCATGCACATGACTACCACATATATATGCTAGCACGGCAGTCTAATTGTACCATGCGTATGTGATCTTGGAGAAGTGTTGCATGCTCATGATTACCACACAAATATCAAATCGAACCCAAGAATACCCGTTGCACTGAACGCGAGTGCCACAAGCCATACACTCACACCAAGACCGTATAGTACATTCGTCAACGTGTGAACTCTCACACACCCACGTACCTGCAGAGGAATCGCCAGAGCACGCTTGTACACATCAGCAACCCGATTCTGCTGCTCAACCACTACACGCTGGCCTCCGCTGGGTGCGTTAGATATACCCTCCCCCTCATTCATGCCGCCTTCTAACTCTTCCACCATATCACATACAGCCGTCTCGAACTCAACGTAGGATGTCCACAGGTGTATACCTTGACTCACATGGAGCCCACCATGCGCCAGTGCCAGCTCATACGCCTCTCTGGCCGCCGCCACTGCCCCAATATTAGCAGCGTTGTGAGCGTCCTGTGCATGCAACGAAGGGACGCCATGTGAGCACACCGAATGGCATCGCGCCAACAAGCGTGCTTGAGGTCCCGCCTGACACGTGTGAGGTCGGGGAGGTTTGGGTACCAGAATTGGTATTCACACCAATGCAGCCCCATCGGCCAGATAAACCTCAAACGATATTCCTCCAGCAAATAGGACTAGCGGTGCTGTAAAGAAATATTACCTAAAAAGAAAGAGGAATAGCACCGTTTTCAAGAAAGAATTACTTTCCTGCACAACCTACCGAATAAATGCGAACATACGTTTGCGATACGGACAATGTATAGTATTAAACGTCCATACGACAGCGTGTGGATTCGAGTCTAAAGTAAAGAAGCCTTGAGCATAAGAAACGCTGAGAGCAGTCTCGGGATTGCTTACTCACCTCTTCATTTCCTGTTGACGTGCAGGTCATGTTCACCTTGGAAGCCATGTACTTGCAATACTTCAGCAGCAGCTTGACGCTGAGATAGTCCTTGAACGCACATCGGTACAACCCAGCGATCTTGTCCGTCCGCTGTTCACCAGGTTGCTATGTTACGCGAGAAGGGCGTACATACTTAGTAAAATACATACTTAGTTATTCGTTTTACTAGGCAGTCGCCGACCGTTTCAGATGACTTATGCAACCTAAGAGATTGCCTCAAGACCTGTGTGTCCATACTGTTCGATTACTGATACGGACTAGCGCGTACTTGTGGAGAAGTTCAAATATGAATATGGAAGAAAGTGAGCACCTCCATTTTTACTTATAGCACATTAAATATCGCTTGGAGCGAAACGTAACAGGTGCCTAGTCCCTGACTTTGTACAATTCGGAGTGTGTAATGCTGCTGCCCAAATCACTACGCTTGTGTGCCCTTTCTACCATAATTTCAAAAATGATATACAACGGTAAGCGAATATGTGATAGAAGGATTAAAAAAAGCAAACAAACTGAACTATGTATCAGGCGGGCGTGTAGGTAGGTACTAGTGCCTCTATGGCACACAGAGCTGGGTTGCAGTCACGGAACAAACAAAGCACACTTCCAAAAAGCTATAAGGAGCTGCCAGTGTTGTGATCGCAAAAAGTAAAACAGATTGTGGCCTACTACACGGGCAAAATAACTATACATACATACATAAACATACACACACACACACACACACAAACGCACACACATGCGCACACACTGCATATATATATATATACATATACACACACACACACATATATATATATATACATATGTATATATATGTATACATAAATACATACATACATGCATACATACGTGCGTAGTACGTACGTACATACGTACATATATACATACATACATCCATACATATATACATACATACATATATAAATACATACATACATACGTAGATACACACATACATAAATACATACATACATACATATACACACACACACATACATACACACACACACACACACACACACATATATATATAACACCTTCACACACACACAACACACACAC